AAAAATATTCCACAGGGAAAAAGATGTATGGATCCACAATATATTATATATAGATCGAAACACAAATTAATAAAAAGAAATAATTTTATTTTATGATTTTTTAATTTTTTTCCCGTTTTACTGTATCCATTCTATTTATTTCTTTATTATTTTCGTTTATATACATATTTATTACTACAGTGCTGCACATAATTTCTGTTTATACTGGAGGTATTAAAGTACCTGCAACTATTTTTTCAAGTGAAGTGAACTGAATATTACTCATAAAAAAAAATTAGTCTCAAATTGTCCTTTTATACATAATTGTTTACACAATTTTTGGACAAAATAAGTATATCGTAATTAAAGGTCAGATATAATGGCATTTATGAATGCATAATTTTTAATAATAAAGTGTTAACCAAACTATGAAATAAAGTCTTATCAGTTTATTTATTAAAAGACAACTATATAAAAAAATTACATAATTCTATAATACTATGAAGAAATAATCGTTTGTTTGTAAAAGTCCAAAAAAACTTCATATTTAGAAACTGATTTCTCACGAATTATCTACCTATCCTAATTAATTTTTGCTTTACTTTACTTTTACTTTCGTTTATACTTTGCCAAATGTGATATGAAATTTTACTATTTTCTTCCATTGCTTTAAAAAATTATATTGGAATAAAAAAGGGCTGTTTTCTACTACTTTTCAGTATAATGTAGGCAACCAGGGATGCGTCAGTTTCCGTCCTCAAACATTTTATACGATACGCGTCGCCTAGTGCAGCGCTTCTCAAACTTTTTAGTGTGACGGAGCAGTAAAAATTTTACTAATGTATGACGGACCGCTACAATTTTATCAAGGTCCAGTTTTTTCACTTTATTAAAAAAAACAATAACGAAACGCAAGGATTTTATTCATAAATTTGTAAAAAAACTACATATAAACATAAACAGTTCAGCCAGAATCGCACAACATTGCCTTAATGTGATAAATGGGCTTACTTATTCTTGGTTAGTTTCTCTAATCGTGGTTCAATTGATGATAACGCCACTCGAAATGGGGGATGAATATTCATGCTATTCCTATACTTTGTATTTATTACACTCATTGTTGAAAAGCCAATCTCACAGAGGTAAGTGGTGACGAAAGGAAGAAGTTTTTTCAAAGCAATATCGGAGAGCTCGGGATATTCTTGTCTTGCTTTTAACCAAAAAGATGCGAGTGATATATTTTCGAAATTAACATTCAGTCCTTCATCAGCAGCGAGCTCCAACAATTTATTTTCTATAATGACAGGTAAGTCACCTATAAATGGAACGAATGGATTACGCACCCATGCATTTTCTTTATGCGGATCTTCTTCTGTTGGGAAATAAAACTCGAAACGTTCTGTCAGGTTAGTCAAGTGGTCGCTGATGACCTTTCTTAGAGATGTAATATNGAGCAATGGATTTAAATTCTTTTGGAGTAAATATGGGCTCGTTTTCAAATTCATAAAACGATTTTCGGAAGTGGGCAAACATTTCGTATAATGTGGCGAATTTGTTGTTGTTAAAGTCAAGGAATAGGTCGTGGTATGGATATCTTTCCGAATTTAAAAATACTCTTATATTTGTAAGACCACAGTCCTCAAATTTGCTCATATTTGAGGTGACCTTATTTTTCTTATCTGTCTGAAAGGCGACAACAATATGACGAGGCGTCTCCAACTTGGTGGTGGTTTTCACGGGCCAAGTGTGTCTTGTAGTTTGTGAAAGGGAAGGGTACTCTACAAGTTCCCAACTTCTAAATGGAACCAATATCTCCACATTTTTATCTAAAATTTTAGTCAGGGCCAGTTGTTGGGGGATTCCTACGGAAACGTGAGGTACTCTCCAATAGATTTTTTCAATGTTAATTTTAGGTTTTTCAGTCTCATCGATAGCCGTTACTGCATCTAGATCATTGCTACTTCGAATCAGAACCAGTTCCTGCTTCATATTTAGTATAATTTTTCTATAGTCTTCGAAAAAGCCCAGTAGCATTTTAAGAGGAATGCATACATCAAACTTTGTTTGGGAAACCATCCAGAATTCTGAAGTTTAACGCTCTCGCTTTCATTGTACGATAGATACCCCTTTAACGTTGACGTTAGTACTACGTTTCTAACGGAATCGATGATTACTCCATTCATTTCATATCGAATTTCCCTGAAGAGGAAACTGAAGGCGTTATTTATAAGTTTTAATTTGGTAACCGATTTTCCATCCTCTGTAGTCAAATTTCCTTCCAAGTATAGCATACTTTCACAAGGTAAAGTATAGATGTCCAA